CCCCAGCCTTGAATGATGGCATTAAGAATCTATTAAGGCTCATTTTAGAACTTTATCTTGTCCCCTGGGCCCCTTTTCCTCTCTTTTGAAAGTAATAATCCTTTGTATATTATCTCTCTCCCCACCTCCTGAGCCCTTTGAAATGCTCCAATTATGATTCATTATCCTGGTAATTGGAGACAATGTTAAAGGAAAATCATGTACAGTGTTTTATCATAACGAAAGGAGGTAACAGCAGATAATAGAGGACTGTGAAGAAAGCTTTTCTTACGTGGCTGGAGTTTGAGAGGCAATTTAGTTATCCTTTGACTACCTTGTCATTATGAGGCAGGATGAGGAGGTCTCCGGTTCTGCTGAAATTTTGCTTTTTCGTTTTCTGATTCTTACCTTTGTTTTAAGCCAAAACTAGATAGCAGTTGTATCGTCATTGTAAGCATCACTTCCTGCTGTAGTATCAGTCATGTATTGTGAATTGAATGTCTCTCTGCCTACTGCATCATGCTGTCATTCAGGGCAACCTGTGTGGCTGAAAGCCCCCCTCCCAGAGGACTCTCATACCCCCCAGTGCTGGAGTGAGCGATGGGTGTGCACATGCACCAGTGCACCTGGTAATGCATTGCCACCAAGATCAAGAAAGGTCCTGTCTGAGGGCTTCATTCAACGCTGCAGTGCTTTGGGGAGGAAATAGGCTGCAATGGTGGATGATTTACACAATCGACTCAAGGGGGATTCAATTTTTTCCCCCCTCCACTTTTGTCTTTCTTCTATCTGTTACACACTTTTTGTTTTCTGCCCTCTTTTGCAGCTTTCTGTGTCTGAGGACTTCTGGTCCTCGCAGTAAAACAAGCCCCGCATAATTCTAGACGTATTTTTAGCTCTCCAAAGTGTTGTTTTTTTTTTTTTTTGGGTGGACTGCATTTGTTGAGCTCCCTTGTGGAAAGGCGAAGCCTGCATACAGACTGTATACTCGGTATTGGAAGCAGGGTAAATTGGGCTAGGTTTGGCACATGTTTGCTCATTCACCACCAAGGTCTAAAGTAAAACAGCTGTGGGGCTATATCTCATGCAAATTTGTGGCGGTATTATTGATGCCTCAAGGGTGAACTAATTTATTTCAAACAGGTGGCTGTTTTTTGTCTTGAACTATTCGTGCCATACAGATACAGAGATGACTTCATTATCTCAACACGGAATTAAACGGTATGTTGTTGAAATTAATTCTGTACAAAATTGATTCTGTTACAAGCGGTGATGGTAAAGGGGCATTCAGTGTAAATTTGTAAAAATCATCATGTAACTGTGTTACCTTCAGTTGTGAAAATTCTGTTTATACCAAAAATAAATTAGACTTTGCGTTTTGAAATTGGCCTCTGTGTCTTCTACCATTTCAGACACTCCCACTTCAATACGTCCTAAAACAATGCTTTGGGGGAAGGGTGCTCCGTGGGGCGGGAGTTTGGCTGCAGACTGAGCTCCAGGGAGGAGCTTTGGGTAAATAGGCGGTGCTTTGTACCAGCAAGCAGCTCCACATGGCTACCACAGGAAATTCAAGGATTTCTCAAACGTGCAGGAATGAGTCAAAGCAACACTCTGGGTATGTTTTTTGATCAGGGGATGACTTTATAACATGATAAAAAAAGCTGATTTTGCATAATACCCCCTTTAAATAAAGAAAGTTGTTGAAAGTGGCTGTGATATTCCTATCCATCGAATACAAAAAGTCAAAGAAAGCATATTTTGATATAAGAAACCTTGCATAAAATGTGATTTTTACCCATTTGGTCACATAAATGGTCTATTTTCTTTTGAACTTGGATCAGTCAAAGTGAAACAGGAAGTGACATCAAAGGGGAACTATTTAAGAAAGAGAACTCTGTAGTCTTTTTATATTATTTGAACTCTGACTCATCTTCATCTCTTGTTGATAGTGACTCAAAATACTCAAAAGAAACATCAGATTCTTCTCTACAGTCTGTGTTGTTAGCCATTTTATTAAAGCTCTAATCCATGCAGACATTCCCCTTTGACATCACTTCCTGTTACTTCAAATGCAAATACCTCAATAACTATTCACATCAGCAGCGGGAATTTATTTTTGTAATATGTTATTGATGTTATCTTTCCAATAATGTTTTTATATTTATTTAAAAAATGTCACGTCACAGGCACTTTAAGTATAAACATAAAGAAATGAGAGGCTGTGCACTTTGTTCTGTTAACTTTGCTGGACTTCAGTACTGAGCGGAGGGTTTTTTTTCAGTGGGAAATAGTTCATTACATGTCATGTTACTGAACAGGGAAATCTGGAGTCCAAATATGGGGGGTGTGTTTTAAGGTTTGCTCTTTTAACCTTTAACAGTCCAGCTTTACAGCACGGGCAGTGAGCCCAGCTAATTCATTTGTAACCGTTTGGCAAAGGGCCCACAGTTAGCACACAATAGACTAAATTAATGTAATGGGTCTTATCTGCCGGAGAGAGTGAACAGAAAGAAAGCTGTTGAACTAAATGGCCTGTGAATGCCGGTGATATTCAATAAAATGCAATCTTCTCTTTTTTTTCATTCACCRTAAGCCACTTGGTAAAGTGATTTAGATGCTTATGAGTGCTTTCCTCTGTATTAACTGATGGAGTCGTTTCTAGAAGACGCACAACAATGGATGTGCGGCGTACGCAGACTTAGCCTTCGTGCACATTTATTCTTAAGAGTGCTTTTAACATAAAGAACATGCTTGCATATTAGATGGAGCATTACAGCAGGCGCCAGCCTTCAAAAGGGAGAATTTGGATGATGTTTTATTTCAGCTTTTATAGAATTTGCAGGATAAATAGCACTGTTTGTTTATTTCTTACCGCCTCCTTTTATGTTTTAATTTTACCACTCTTCATCACCATCCACAAGGTTTTACTGTTAGAATTACATCTTTCTATTGCTGCTGCTGGGTTCATTTAAGGGACTGTGCATCTTTTTTTATTATTATTGTAGAGCACTGAGCTCAGTAACGTCAAGAACATTACCCGGATGCCACGGGAGACAAAGAAACACGCTGTCGCTATCATCTTCTGCGATGACACGTCCAAGACATTTGCCTGCGAATCAGGTTAGTGCCTTTTTTCTTTACGTGAAGTTCTAAATTGCCTCTTTTAGCTACAGAGGCAGAAAAATCAATTGATTTTTCTTTCATGTAGGACGTGGCTTTTTGAAAAGTTTTGGCGGAGGAATAATGAGAAGTTAAGAGGCCAAAAGGGAAAGAAAAACAGCGAAAAAGGAAGGAGGCGGTGGAAAACTGGAGTCGAGCCAAGTAGTGCTCATTTGCCACAAAATATTAATAAATAGGAGAATGAGTTCAGAAATATTGATTTTTATTGTGCAGAAATAAAAATGCAATATTAGGCATAATTTGTGTTTATGCACAGTAACAATAGAGATTGCTTCTAATACATGGGTAGAAAGCCCAAAAGACACGAGTCCGCCAGAGCTGGATATTGAAAATAGCTTGAATCACTATAGCAAACCAATAAATATAAACAATTAAGTTTTGAAGGGGCGTGCATGTGTGTTAGGGATGCACAATAAATCACAAATTTATCGTCATTGCGATAACAGCCTGTACAGGTGCATCACCGAAAAAAAAAAGCTTAAACTGCAATGCATTTTGTCAGCATCATAAACACAATAGACCCAAGATGGAGAAAACGTTGGATAACTGCAATGAGAGAATTTAAAGTTGGATTTTAGTTATGTTAAATTGTATCTGAAATTCCTTAACTATTTTTTTATGTTTTTATTTTTTATTAGAAAAAAAACTGATAGTAAGGGATGTTTTTCAGAAAATGTTTTGTGGGGGCGATGTTTTAAAGTTAATAGGAAACTGTTTTGCATGCAGTTTGTTGTTTCCCTACTAATACAGCAGCTTTGTCTAGTTGCAATTTTTAAAATTAAATTGTCATGTTGAAATAGAAAAGATGTATTAGTTGTTTTTTTTTTTTGCTCTGAACCCAGAGCATAAAGACCTCGACACTGCATACTTAATTATTGCGCGTCATCATCACAATATTAAGCACTGTTTTTACACATCGCAGGTTTTCCTGATATCGTGCAGCTAGAAAATAGGAAATTTTATTATCTGAGAATTATTTTGTGCATTAAATTGAATGAACATGGTCTGGATAGCCCACAGACATACCATAAAAAGTTTCTAGGACCCATAATTGGTCTCCTTTAACAGAATATCGACAAAGTTTTGTGCACATTTGCAATGGAAACGCAGCTTATGATACTATCACCGCAGTGCCTTAATTAACTGCCTTAAAAAAGGTTCACAAACATTAGCTGCTCTCAGATGTACAACTGTGATGGTTCAAAAGGGAACATTTTAAGGTCATTTTGGGATTTAAGTAAAGTAGAAAAACAGGTTAAAATTCAAATGAGCTCTGTATAAACTCACCTATAAGATATATTTATAAGCAACCTTTCCTTCAGCTGCAGTCCAATATCAGAGGAAGGATGGATTTTAAAAGTGAGCCTGTCAACCGTCTAACCGCTTTTTCGACAACGACATTCAAATCTGCACAGAACATCCTGAGATGCTTTTTCTGCAGACAAAGGGTTTTATCACTTATTAAAATCTCCTGGTGTTTTATTTTTAAATTCACTAACCTTTTGAAGCTCCCTCCCAATCACTGCCACGTGCGCTGTCAATAAAACAGAAYGAAACAGAAGAAAAAAAACCCAATATAATCACACGTTGACAGCCCTGGGTGCAACTGTCAAATATGCTCGTATGAGAGATGAGAGCGTGACCTCGAGTTRTGATTACTGTTGAGAACTCTTTAGTTCCATGGAGTGTTTGGGACAAATAAAAATCCAGTAAATATTGTCTAGTAATGAGTTCAGACAGTCTTCTGATTTGATTTTTACCTGCAGTAAACCCACTCCAGACTTATCTGCTTTTATTTCTACATGTGCATGAATGCTCACACTTTGAACATGAGGCGCTCGTCCACACCGTCGCACAGCTACACACAGAGGCATCATCCTGCCGTATCTCTTAATGCGTGCCACGTAGAGCGGCCCAGGTGCCGCTGCGCTGATGAAGTGTTTGTTTAGCTGATTTTCCACTCAGTGGCCTCAAAAAGTGTAGGGGTTCAGGAACACTTAAGGGCCACGGCGAAGGGGATAAATGAAAGGCACGAGGAAAAAAAGCTGTGTAAATGAAGTTCACAACAGCTGCAGACATTTCCTTTACCCTTCAGTCCAACCTGCTTTTTCCACTGACCATATTTTTTGGACTATAAGCCGCACCCCCAACATAAAAAAAAACAGTACACCCAAAATTGTCGTCAAAAAAGTGAATTCGAACTTTAATTCCTAAAGGTTTGCTTTTTATGTTTTGATGTTGAATATGGTAATATGGTAAGTATCAATATCATATATTGAATATGTTGAATATGAAATGAGGAATACGGTTCATTTAACTGACCTTATTTTGGTAGTTTTCTTTAACAGTTTCTGGTCCAACAAAACGTT